CGTAATTAATATGCATTACGCCTGATTTAAATATACTACAGTTAGGAAAAAGATGTTTCTTAATTTTAATAAATAATTAATATTTATAACAACACTAAAAATTTAAAATTATTGATTCTAACGGATAGTCTTAAATTAACAGCTGTTATAAAAATAGTCTATTATAATTGTAATTTATTTCATGTTAAACAAAAAAGTTTTTGAAGGAGGTAAATGAAATTTTACCTGTTATACGATAGATTTAATATTGTGTAATTGTAATAATTTATTTTAATAGCACATAATCAAGTCAAATTGAAATTTTTTATTAATTTCAGCCGAACGAGCATTGGACACAATGAATTTTGATATGATAAAGGGACGGCCTATACGTATTATGTGGTCTCAACGTGATCCTTCCCTTCGAAAATCTGGCGTTGGAAATGTATTCATCAAAAATTTAGATAAAAACATAGACAATAAAGCAATGTACGACACGTTCTCTGCTTTTGGTAACATTCTCAGTTGTAAAGTGGCTCAAGATGAATCAGGTGTTTCTAAAGGTTATGGTTTTGTTCATTTTGAAACTGAAGAGGCAGCAAATAAATCAATCGATAAAGTCAACGGCATGTTGTTAAATGGGAAAAAGGTATTTTCTCTCTGTTACGTTTCCTGATATTACTATGAGCAAGGAATTGAAATTGTTATTATTTAGTTTTTTATTATTTTTATTTATTATCTAAATTGTTTAGTTAATTTTATTATTAATATCTTTAATATTTATTAATTTAGTTATTATAATTGTTATTATAAAATGATAATTCTAATTGTTACAGGTGTACGTTGGTAAATTCATACCTCGCAAGGAACGCGAGAAGGAGCTGGGAGAAAAAGCCAAACTTTTCACCAACGTTTATGTAAAAAACTTCGGGGAAGACATGACCGATGATAAACTTAAAGAAATGTTTGAAAAATATGGGACCATCACCAGTCATAAAGTAATGATTAAAGATGATGGAAAATCACGAGGTTTCGGTTTTGTAGCTTTCGAAGATCCGGACGCTGCTGAACGAGCAGTACATGAATTAAACGGAAAAGAGGTTGCTGAAGGAAAGTGTATGTATGTTGGACGGGCGCAGAAGAAAGCGGAACGACAGCAAGAATTGAAACGGAAATTTGAACAATTAAAAATAGAACGTTTGACACGTTATCAGGGTGTAAATCTTTACGTGAAGAACTTGGACGATAGCATAGACGATGAACGATTGCGCAAAGAATTTGCACCGTTTGGAACAATCACATCCGCTAAAGTGATGTCTGAGGAAGGACGTAGCAAGGGTTTTGGATTCGTCTGTTTTTCAGCTCCAGAAGAAGCTACCAAAGCTGTAACTGAAATGAATGGGCGCATAATAGTTACTAAACCATTGTATGTTGCTCTGGCGCAACGTAAAGAAGATCGTAAAGCGCATCTCGCTTCACAATACATGCAACGCTTGGCGAGCATGCGTATGCAACAAATGGGTCAAATGGGACAAATGTTTCAACCGGGCGGTGCTGGAAATTACTTTGTTCCCACTATTCCACAGCCCCAAAGATTCTACGGACCACAAATGGCACAAATACGTGCAACACCACGTTGGTCCGCGCNCGTAATTAATATGCATTACGCCTGATTTAAATATACTACAGTTAGGAAAAAGATGTTTCTTAATTTTAATAAATAATTAATATTTATAACAACACTAAAAATTTAAAATTATTGATTCTAACGGATAGTCTTAAATTAACAGCTGTTATAAAAATAGTCTATTATAATTGTAATTTATTTCATGTTAAACAAAAAAGTTTTTGAAGGAGGTAAATGAAATTTTACCTGTTATACGATAGATTTAATATTGTGTAATTGTAATAATTTATTTTAATAGCACATAATCAAGTCAAATTGAAATTTTTTATTAATTTCAGCCGAACGAGCATTGGACACAATGAATTTTGATATGATAAAGGGACGGCCTATACGTATTATGTGGTCTCAACGTGATCCTTCCCTTCGAAAATCTGGCGTTGGAAATGTATTCATCAAAAATTTAGATAAAAACATAGACAATAAAGCAATGTACGACACGTTCTCTGCTTTTGGTAACATTCTCAGTTGTAAAGTGGCTCAAGATGAATCAGGTGTTTCTAAAGGTTATGGTTTTGTTCATTTTGAAACTGAAGAGGCAGCAAATAAATCAATCGATAAAGTCAACGGCATGTTGTTAAATGGGAAAAAGGTATTTTCTCTCTGTTACGTTTCCTGATATTACTATGAGCAAGGAATTGAAATTGTTATTATTTAGTTTTTTATTATTTTTATTTATTATCTAAATTGTTTAGTTAATTTTATTATTAATATCTTTAATATTTATTAATTTAGTTATTATAATTGTTATTATAAAATGATAATTCTAATTGTTACAGGTGTACGTTGGTAAATTCATACCTCGCAAGGAACGCGAGAAGGAGCTGGGAGAAAAAGCCAAACTTTTCACCAACGTTTATGTAAAAAACTTCGGGGAAGACATGACCGATGATAAACTTAAAGAAATGTTTGAAAAATATGGGACCATCACCAGTCATAAAGTAATGATTAAAGATGATGGAAAATCACGAGGTTTCGGTTTTGTAGCTTTCGAAGATCCGGACGCTGCTGAACGAGCAGTACATGAATTAAACGGAAAAGAGGTTGCTGAAGGAAAGTGTATGTATGTTGGACGGGCGCAGAAGAAAGCGGAACGACAGCAAGAATTGAAACGGAAATTTGAACAATTAAAAATAGAACGTTTGACACGTTATCAGGGTGTAAATCTTTACGTGAAGAACTTGGACGATAGCATAGACGATGAACGATTGCGCAAAGAATTTGCACCGTTTGGAACAATCACATCCGCTAAAGTGATGTCTGAGGAAGGACGTAGCAAGGGTTTTGGATTCGTCTGTTTTTCAGCTCCAGAAGAAGCTACCAAAGCTGTAACTGAAATGAATGGGCGCATAATAGTTACTAAACCATTGTATGTTGCTCTGGCGCAACGTAAAGAAGATCGTAAAGCGCATCTCGCTTCACAATACATGCAACGCTTGGCGAGCATGCGTATGCAACAAATGGGTCAAATGGGACAAATGTTTCAACCGGGCGGTGCTGGAAATTACTTTGTTCCCACTATTCCACAGCCCCAAAGATTCTACGGACCACAAATGGCACAAATACGTGCAACACCACGTTGGTCCGCGCAACCGAATCCAGTACGACCCAATGCACAAACTGGTAGTCCCGGTTTTGCTACGATGCAAGGTTCGTTTAGAGCTGCACCACGTGCTCCTGCTGCTCAAGCTAGTACTATGCGTAACACCTTGTCTGCTAGACCTATTACAGGTAATAAAGTTTTAATGAACATAATTTTGCTATTTGTAAGTGTTATAGTCAGGAATATTTGCTAATTATTTTTCGTTGCAGGTCAACAAACGGTGGTCGGTGCAAACATGCAAAGTCGTTCCATGACCGGTCCAGCAGCAGTGGGAGTTTCAGCTCCTAACCGTCCGTCAAATTACAAATACACTTCGAACATGCGTAATCCACCTCAAACAATGGCAATACCTGCTCCTACCCCTGTTCAGCAAGCTGTTCACATTCAAGGTCAAGAACCTTTGACTGCCTCGATGTTGGCAGCTGCTCCACCACAAGAGCAGAAACAAATGTTAGGAGAGCGTCTTTTCCCATTGATTCAATGTATGTATCCGAATCTTACTGGAAAGATCACTGGAATGTTGTTGGAGATTGATAACTCAGAGCTCCTGCACATGTTGGAGCATAACGAGTCGCTAAAAGCCAAGGTTGAGGAGGCCGTAGCTGTACTGCAGGCTCATCAAGCCAAACAGGCTGTGGCCCCTAAAAAAGAGTAAACATCTTAAAATAATAGCCTAATATAAGATTTTACTCTTTTTTTTAGGAGCCACAGCTCCTTCTTTAATTATTCGTATCAATGTTAATTTTTTTCTTCCTCATTCTGCAATTATTCTTAGTTTAAAAAGAGATTACTTCTAAAGAGCTTTATGATGGCTTCAACGATTAGTACAAGCAAGAATGACAGAAAAAATTGTTATTCAGAATTAATAACTGATCGTGAAAGGGTTTTTCATCAAGTTTTATGATAATAAATTTTCCTTTAAAACTATCAAATGAGTTTATTCTTATCCTCGTCTCCTAAATCTAAGATTTGTGTTTGGTGTTACAGTTTTATTATCATTGGTACATATATATATATATAAATGTAAAGACATTTGAAATAAATTATTTAAACTATTTAGACTACAATATCACGTTATTTATAGAAGTAAATCCACAATTTTTCATTCCTTCCGTAATAAGTACAATATTTTTATAAGGAATCTGTATAAGGATGTACTATTTTACCGACGGTTAATAATTATAAGGATAAATGCAATTTTTACATAATTTAGGATTTTTTAAGTTCAATTCTCTAAACTACTGTCAGCATACTGTTGCAGTCGGACTTTTTTCGGAATTAATGAAACTTCGATATAAAAAAATTTGCCCAAAAACTTTCAGTCATTGCGCAGTTTTTGAGGTCATTACAGGAAAACTATTAGCATTACAAATCCGATGGTCCGTTCTGTATGTATAGTAAGTGGAAAGCAAAACTGAGTCAACACTTTTAAAACGATATAACTTTTTTAAATCTGATTTAAATGACTTGAATTTCTCGGTAAATGTTAGAGGGACTAGTTCAATAAATAATGAATAAGATACTTTTTCTTAAATTTTGCTATTACTTAGGATAAAAAGAATATAAAAAGACTCATTTTTCACTTTCTTATCTGAGTCTGTAATACAAATTTTAAAAATACATTTGGTTAACTCAGCATGCATATAGTTAACTCCATAACTTACATGCATGCTGAAAATTTCATCAAAATCCGTTTATCTTGACACGAGCTGTAAACAATTAAAGATAGCGAAAATCACAGTTTCTTCACGAATTTTAACGAAAAATAGGTCATTTCTACGTGTTTCAGAGACTGAATATGCGTCAACCGACTTCGATGTTTTCAACATGCGTGTAAGTTACCGAGAAAATACCAAATGCATTATTTAAATTTTCATTGTAGGTTTAGATAAAAAGGTGACAAAACAAGAGCTTTTTATATTATTTTCATTCCAAGTAATAGCAAAATTACGAAAAAAGTATTTTAGTCATTATACAGCGTCATTATATAGTCCCTTTAACATTTACAGAAAAATTCATGTCATTTAGACCAGTTTTAAAAAAGTTATACCATTTTAAAAGTGTTGACTTAACTTTGCTCCTTACTGTATATTCTAGTATATTTCATATAATATTCTAAATCTTAAGAAGTAATGTCCTTTTAATATTCGCAAAACTGCAACAGCAGAAAAAATTTCGAAAATATGGTTGCATAAACATGCAAAAACATATAAAGTTGCTTTGTAATAGCTAAACCTGATTATATAGATTTACAGAAGAGATCAAGAGAATTTACAGAAACAATAAACGAAATTTGTGCAGTAACATGAAATTAGTTTTTTTCTTATCAGTGTAAATTCGTTTTCTCGTTCTGTGGTTATTTTCTTGAAATAGTAATGACACCTATAATTATGTAACTGTGCGCATTGTATAGCAAATATTATTCTAGAATATCCACGCTTCATAGTTATATGATTATTCTGCATATTTTATACCAAGAGACTGGCTCTGATTTTTAATTTCCTAATTTCTGGATTGGTGCATCCACAACCCAGGTAGGTCGAAAGTGAAATCATAGTAAAAGGGAAACTTAATTTCGGTTAACGGATTTTTGAACGATGATATAGGGTAGTCAATTATATTTGTACCCATCTAGCTGCATAGGTATACTCAAGCACCATGTGTCGTGCAGCTTTGATTTGCTGGTACCTACAATAAAAAAAGGGAATTGAATAGGAAAGGTCCGAGTCTCGGAAGCATTGTGCTGGCTCGAACACGTGTATTTGCTCGTTGTTCATTAAATGTTCCGCTGTTTTGCTTCTGTCTGCTGATTGGCCCATCGAAATGTGGCACAGAGAGCAACGAAGGAATCGATTGGTCGAGCGAAGAATTCCGCTCACATTGGCAGAATGGTGATAGGTTGGCTGCTACTTACAAAGGTGTGATGGAAATGGAATCCAGGAACGAGCTTCTTCGAGAGGTTGAGAGGCCTTTTGAGAGATGAACAGGAGGGACTATTAGAATGAATCGAGTTGTTGCCAAATACTGGTCGACGTCTGCAGGAAGTGATTCAGTTTTGTCGAAGTTTCGAAGTGGACGTCTTTGTGACTTTTTCTACACGTGCGATGATTGAAGAAGAAGGTATGTCTCGATTTGTCTGTGTATACATATATAAGGTATTTCAGAACTCGCGTTACACCCGTAAATGTGTGATTTGAAATAATTTTTTTTGCTGAAATGTTGATTATGATTTCATTAATGAGTTAGGAATGAAAAATCTACTCCGATCAGAGAGCGAATATTGCTGGCGTCTCACTGTTACAACCAATCTTATGTCAAGCTCGTTATCGCGCCAAAATTCGTAAGCCGTATCCGCTGCTTGATTGGTTCAGGTTTTGCGTTAATAACTCCTTAAAAAGCCATGGAGAATTGGTTTTATATATCAATTTATACGATGTCAAGTTGGCCATGTTTTTATTTCAACAAAATAAGTTATTATAAAACTTTAGACTACGCGATAGATTTATTATTCTTGAATCTCTGACGAAACTAATATGTAATTGAACAGCATTTGTTGAAAGGCAAACTTCGAAACTTCTAATAGTGGTGTCGGATTCTGTTGAATTGTATAGCAAGTTTCAAGATTTTTATTTATGTTGAAATATATTTATGTTGATTTATAGGCAATGTTATATCTTTGCTCGAATTAAAATTTTTAATCTTAAATTCGTTCAAGCTGAAACGTGTAGTGAATAGTAATCGTGCAATGAAAGATTTTTGTCTTTGGAATAGAAAAATGAAAACAGACATTTGCGAATTGATAGTGATATATTAAAATATTAAGAAATTTTTGGCACATATTTCAATAAGAACTTTCGTGTTTTCTTTATTTCAAACAATTAATAGAAATTGACCTCTCGTTCGAATTTATTTGACAAATTTATCAATTTTGCCGCGTTCTAGAATATGTACCGGCGCGATTGTCAGTTGTCGGCGATTGTCGATTGATACATCAGGAACTATTGGAAAGACTAATTTATTTTGTATTTAATTTATTTCTTTGAATTTGTTATTATTACAATTTATTTATTAGATTGATACTATATAAATGAGTGTGTTATGAATCTTCATTTGTTTATGTTTTATCGAAACATTCGCTCATTGCGATGCTTAAAACGTAAACATGAAATTTGATTTTTAACTAAATACGTATCCTGTAAGTCGAAAGTATATATATATATATAAATATGTAAATGAAATTTATTACCGAATTATTAAATTTAGTAATTCTTATTCTTGTTATACAGCAACAGGTTTACATTAATTTTAATTAATATTTGTAGAATAAAGTTATTACCGACTACTACAACTGTATGTTATATATTTTATTTTTTGTTATTAAAATCCACAATATAAAATAGAAATAATGGAAGACGAAGTGATAAAAAATATACGAGCATGTTTAATGGCTTCAAAGGGAGGCCTCACATTTGATAACTTAAGCAGTAAGTACAAGAATATTAATCCTTCTTTAACCCTTTGTGTATCAGCATCGAGCAAGATTCAACGTTATCTCTCGAATTAACTTATTTAGCTAATTTCCATTACATTCACATATAGTGCAACTATATAATACATACAATTATACAATCTTATAATAAATTCTAAACTAAAAGGAAGGAACTACTTTGACCGCAAAGGGTTAAAGTAGATTAGTTTTTATATTGAACTAACTAACATTTGTATTAAAATCTGTTCAGGGGATTATGAGATGCTTCTCGATGAGAATATACCATTTAAGAAGCTTGGATATCCTACTCTAGCTGATTTTTTAAATATTGTTCCTGGTATTAAAACTCGTGAGAGAGAAGGGGAATATTTTATACAAGCTATACCTACTTCTAAGTCTGCACACATTTCAAAATTAGTTTCGCAGCAAAAGACAACAACTAAGAAACCTACAAGATTGGTATATAAATGTTTATATACGATGCCATGTTTTATGCAACCATTTAATTCAATATGCTTCTTCGTTGTAGGTGAATACTCGAAAGTCAGTACTAAATTATCAGTCTGTAAAGACAAAAATGATTACTGCTTCGACAAAAAGAGTTCCTACTTTGACAAAAAAGGTTCCTTCTCCAACGAAAAGGGTCCTTTCTCCGACGAAAAAAGTTTCTTCTATGACACAAGAGGTTTCTCCTCTGACGAAAAATCTTTCTTATATGACAAAAGAGATTCCTTCTCCGACGGAAAAGGTTTCTTCTACAACAAAGAAGGTTCCTTGTCCTATAAAAAATGTTATTGATACCTCCCGTATGATTGGAAGGTATAGTATTATAAACATAAATAAGGGACTTCATTTACAATTATATATACATATTTTTGTCATGCATTCTCATTCCCATCCCTACATACTACTATACAATTCCTGTCTATATCACATAAATAGATTACCTATTTGTAGAATATATGATTACAAATGCAGTTCCTTCTAATTAATACCACAGTATTAATTATTAGTATTATTATTAGTATTAATTATTATATTTATGTGTATATATTACAAATCTTTAAACATGTTATGTAGCAAATATACAGTCATCGCAACAAATCTACGACCAATAAAAATTACTTTTTATTTAAATAATGAAAAACCAAGATACATTCATCCAATACCACCGACACCTCCAAGTAAAGTAAGTGGTTTTAACATGTATGTTTAATTTTCTCTTTGTAAAAATGTTTGATTCATTTCTATATATTTTCAGAGACTAAAGGAAAGACAAACCAACGCAGCTGTATGGTCAGCCCAAAGTTATTATAAGTCTAAAGATGATTGCTATTATAAGAGCGATGAAAAGATATATCAGAAACCAAAGACTGTTAGTAACAATGTGGAGACTTGTTATAAACCTTATTATCGTTACAAAGGGTACAGAGATCATTCTCCTAGATCATCTTATCGATCTATGGAAGAAGTTAGAAAGAAAAGTTACAGGGATAGATCTCCTAGAACCTATTCATCGGATAAGTACCATTACCATTAAAATTGCAAAGGAGCGCATGGGGTTTGTGTAAGTTAAGGTTTGTAGAAATTTTATATAAATTTCAAACAAGAAGTTATACGGTTATATAATATATGAATATTTTTTTAGATTGGGACTCATGAGAATATTCCAATTATCTTGACGAAGCACGTTCAGAAGATGAGACGAAAAAAATTGTAGCAAAATTTGCTCTGCTTAAAGAGTCATATTTTAAGCAAGATTTGAAAAATGTGGGAACATTATTAGTCAGAAAGTAATAATTAAATATGATGGGAAATTATAAGAGTTTGTACAGCTTTTGAAGATCTGGGCAGTCTTGTCTGCTAGATCTATTACAGGTAAGAAAGTTTTAATGAACAATATTTCTGCTATTTGTAAGTCACGGACAAGAATATCTGCTAATTATTTTTCGTTGTAGGTCAACAAACGGTGGTTGGTGCAAATATGCGAAGTCATCTCCTGGCTAGTCCAGCAACAATGGGAGTTATAGTTCTTAACTGACCATCAAATTACAAATGCACTTCGGATATGTGTAATACACATCAAATAATGGCAATCTCTGCTCCTATTCCTGTTCAATAAGCTGTTGATATTCAAAACCGAGTAGATTACCACCTTTTATTGCCACGACGCTGGCAACTGTTCCAGCACAAGGGCAGACACAAATGTTAGGAGTATGTCTCTTCCCGTTAATTCATATGTACATTGACTCGCATTAATATTCAGACACCTTTTAGGAGATATACAATAACTAAAATTCTTTCGTTTTAATTTTGCTATCGATTCTCGTAGATCTCCGGAACTTGCATGCATAATGAAAATTTTATCGAAATCGGTTGATGCATAATCAAGCTACAAGTGCTTTCTTAAAGTTTTTGATCAAAAGTCGTGGAATAGTCTTTAATTATTTATAACTCGTAGCAACGTTAACCGATACGATGAAATTTTCAGCATACTTGTAAGTTACAGGGATCTCTAAAATGCATTGTTTACAGTTTCCATTATAAGCTCAGACAAAAAAGTTAAACCCGAGTTCCTTACTTTTTTCTATTCGAATCAATTACTATTTAAAAAAAAATGTGTTTATTGTCTACTAAATTAGTCTCTTTAACATCTAAAAAAGTACAAGTAATTTCGTCCACTTTTAGGAAAGTTATTATGTTTTAAAAGGTGACCGAATATTAATATGAGTCCCAATCTGACTGGATAGATCACTGGAACGTTGTTGAAGATTGATAACCCAGAGCTCTTGTATATTGGAGCAGAACGAGTTACTAATGACCAAAGTTGAGAAGACCGTAGCTATACTGAAGACTTATCAGGCTAAAAAGAAGTTATAAAAGAATGCTAAATGTACTAAAAAAGGAATAAAGAATTTATATTAGGTTATATCATTTTATACTTCTTTAACTATTTGTTTTTTCTCATTTTAATATTGTCCTTGTTTTACCAAGAGTAAAATACAGTAAGTAATCATTGTATCACCCTCAGTTTTCGAAAAACATTAATTTTTGTAAAATGGTCCCATTTTGGGTAAAAATAGGCATTACGTAAAAAGTAAGAACATTAGAAAATTCGAACTCATCTTAAACGATAAAGAAGAGCATCCCAAATATACATCAGTTTTTAATTTATTTTATTTCAAGTGTTTGTTAATATCCATCAAAGTTCAAAAAGAGTAGCATTTTTTACCCTATATTTTCATAATTTTATGAAAAGTTCTTAGTCTATAGCACGAATTTAATACACAGCATCGGATTGTGTGCGCATTTTTCAAGAGGAAACAGTCTAATAGCTACCTTAAAACGACGTTCGGTTCTGACAAATCGGGAAAATATTAATCAGCAACGCGTGCACGATGTTTTGCCAAAGCTGTTGAAAGATGGTAACAATTGTATATGATTTTTTTAATTTTTCGCAGAAGTGGAATATTCAGAAGTATCCAACAATAAATTTAATGAATAAATACTATTGAATGAAGCCTAAATAGACTTTGCGTTACCTTCAAATCCATTTAATAAGCTCCAAATATTGTCATATTTGGGAATAATTAAAACTTCGATAATTCATGAACAATAACTATGATTATTTTTAATAATTATCTATTAATATAAAATTCGTATTCAATGCTATTCAGATATTTGATATTAAAATTTGTTAAACCTAATAATAACTGTAATGATGAAAAAATGCTTTATATGCCCTAAAATGCACTTATTACACTTTTCTTGTAGAAAAATTGTAAAAAATCACGCATGATAGTTATCGCCTTTTAAGAACTTTATTGTATAGACAATAAATTCGGATTCGTCCATTAAACATTGAAATTGTTCAAAAGCAGCAACAGTGTGATAATGGGATAGGTGCTTCATGAAAAAATCTATGAAAAAGTGAAACACCATACATACAAAAATTGGGGCCCCATGGGACAGTACTGTAAGTTTCGCTCCCGAAAAGAGGCAAGCGAGCACCGACCGTGTGGCGGAAAAACATCGTGCACACGTCGCTGTTGATATTTTCTCGATTTATCTGAACCGGATGTCATTATAACGCGGTTACTAGACGGTTTCCTTTTCAAAAATATCCACACAATTAGATATTGTTTAGTAAAGTCGTGCCAGACGAAGAGAAGTTTTCGTTTTAGTTTTGCCAATATATGCATAACTATGCTTGAATTGTTAACTAAGTGGCTCATAATGAAATTTATTGACCCCTTAAAGTGTTCAGTATAAATTTGTAACGCACATTAATACCATTTTGAAAATAAACTAATATATTTTAACAGTTCTATGTTCTATAAATCGAGGAAAAAGGAGTAATTAAATAATGAATTTGCTAGAAATATGCAACGTATGTATACAAGAAATATATTTAGACTACATATTTCAAAAAAATCATATACTTTATACTACTTGAGGTGTTTGAGAAAAATAAAAAATATTACTTTTAACAAGTTTTACCACTTTGAATATTTAATCTTTTATTATGGCTCATTACTTTCTTTAAACATGTTCTCTAACCATTGACAGCTTTCATTATCGAAATATTTGTATAAATCGCAAACATCTTTTTCTTTCGCTTCCTTTATTCGTGAAAAATTCACAGAATAAAATTAAATGTTTTTAAACTGTTGTACACCGCGCACCGATTTTTCCATAAATCGAACGTTGTAGATGTACCAGAATATGATGTGAAGCAAATAATGCTTCCACTTGCTCTATATTTTATTTGGCAGTATGACTGTGTATTTTGAATATATTCCCTTTTGCAAGCGTTTTTTTTCCATTGCTTCTTAACTCAGAAATTACTTATTGATAATTTAATAAAATATCTTAATGCGCGAATTTACTGAAACAAAAACCGGGTGTGTGAACGGTTGCCGAGCTACGCAACAGAGACCAAGTAAACGAAAAACACTGCAGTTATCTCAATTGTTGGAATATTGACATAAAGTTTTACGGAAACATTCTTAAACATTTGGCAGTTAGTTAGAAACGATATTCCGAAAACGATTTACCTTTCCAGAAAGGTCCTCAATTAAAGACTAGTATAAACGAGTATACTAGTACATATATTCGGGAGTCTCTCCTCTATCATTTAAGATAAGTCCGAACTTTCTAATATTCTTAGTTTTTACGTAAGGCCTCTTTTTATACAAAATAAGATTATTCGACAAAAATTAAAGTTTTTCGAAAAAAACTGAGGGTGATAGAGCAATTCTACTTTTGAATTCGTCTTTTGGATGACTAACTTTGAAGGGATCGGCCATTAGTTAATACAGATCAAAAGTCTTGTTGGGCAGTGTAATCTGTGGAAAATTTGAACTTGGTCAGATAAGAGAAAATCGTTCCTCCAATTCCTTAAACATTAAAATAATTAATAAAATGCTTATAAAATCGATCTTTTCGAATATATTCTGATTTATTAATTATTAAAACTTTCTCTCTTTTGCCAATTATAATAACTATAATGTATTTTGATTATTTCTTTATGACTGGAGAATTGGAGGCTAGAAGATTTTCATTACGAACTTTTAGAAGTACAATTCTTTTAATTGCATGATACTTTAAATCCAAAATCACTCTCATCAAACACAAATATAAAACGACTTACAAACTGATTCAACTTATGAAATTTTTGAAATTTTTTAAAAAGATTGAACAATTTATTCCGGACACACCTATAGAACATTTTTTACGGATCTCAGTCAGTTTACTAACCTATTCTTCATCGTCGTTCAAAAATACAAGTTTTATTCAAGGTTTAGAATGAATAAATCAATTGCGCGAGAACCTAGATAATACGTAGTAATTAAATTAATGGGAGGATCACAAAAATTGAAGATGTACGGACTAAAGTAACAATACACAGAAGGCCCTGCTTGTCAAGATCTAGAAGATTTGTTTGATATATTCTTTTATATAACTAAAATTTAGAAGATATTAAAACAGTAAGGAATGAGTATGTAATTAATTATTTCAACGTTGAAGGGTTCGGATCGCGTTTTTCTGTTATCCGATCGAGCTCAAATTTTGCACAGATTATTCTTTTATTAATTGAAATTATTCTGGGGAGTGCCGCGAAGAAAATTATAAAATCGAAAGTCCACCCTAGTGCGCAATGTTCTACACATGCGTATAGCAAGGATTTTTTTCTATATTCTAGAATATTACACTGATTTTTAATTTCTCGTTTCTGGATCGTGCCCTCTTAACGCTGAAAGGTCGAAGGGATAGTTACTATACCAGAGAATCCTAATTTCGGTTAACGTATTTATGATCGATGCTGCAGGGTAGCTAATTCTATTGGAACCGATCTGCACTCGCGTCGATATTTATGTTGACATGTAAGGTTCTATTATGGACGATCGAAAATAAAGTTAATGATATAATAAGTGTAAGAGCTTATTTATTGTGTAGATGTGTTTATTGAAGTTTAACAAAAAGAAGAAAGTACACGAAATGCAAACTAATTCATATATAGATATAAAATTGTGTAAAAAAGCAAAATGTTTAATATAACTGGGTACGGAAAGTATGCTGACATTATAATTTAATGCACATCTTACATTATTGTATTTTTTTGGTATGAAGTATGATATCTTTTGGTTCTTATTACTTCTAAAAGGCGACTTGACATAGTTCTAATTAATTTTTTCAGCGTTGTGGAGCTTAATTCGTTCCATTTTTTTCTTCAATGTTTCTATAAATTTTGATTTTATGTATCTTTCTTATTCGACGATCTAATTCCACCCACAAATGCTCGATCGAATTCAGATCGGAGCTTTGAAGTGCCCATAAAAGCAAATTTATATTGTTGGACAAATTGTTGGGCAAATTTATATTCTTTTGCATCCCTTGAGGTATGCGTTGAGTCGTTGTCTTGCTGAAAGACGAACGACCTATTTCTTTCAAATTTATACATTGAAGAAAACAAATTCTCCTGTAATAATTCAACACATTTGGAGTCGGTCAGTTTCCCTTCAATTATTGCTAAATTTCCAATTCGATCGTTATTAAAACAGCTCCAAATCATAATGGAGCAACCTCCATGTTTGACGGTTGGAATCACAAGAGTTGGTTTAAACGCATCTCCTACTTTCCTCCATACATATTGTCTTCTATTGCTTGACTTCATTTCAAATTTCGATTCATCATTTCAAATAACTATTTTCCAGAACGAAATTGACTTTTTAGAATATATCTGAGCAAATCTTAAATGCTTTGCAGTATCGACTTTCGAAAGATATGGTCTTTTTCGTGATATAATTCTAATGGGCAAACATAAATTTTCTTTTGATTCTCTGCCACTAAGAAATGGATTTTTTTTCACTTCTCGAACTATTTGTCTATCTTGATGAACGGTTGTCTTTCTTCTTCTTCTTCCCGTTCTAGTTAAATTTTCTGGTTTTCCAGTAATATTTATTTTCTGAAATATATTTCCCACATCTCTTGAAATGCTGAAGTCCATAGCAATTTTTGTCAAAGTTGCACTCAACTCTCAAATTCTCGGCATTTTATAAGAAATTGCCTATTATATAATATAAAATATATACATAAAATATATCATTTAAACTTTTTTAGATATAAAAACATGCAAAACTACAAACCCAATATTCTAGTCAAAAAATAAAATTTAATACATGTCAACTTACTTTCCGACAGCGGGACAATTCAAGAATTACACTTTTAATTGCTTTGTAGCTTGTAATATTCGCCAAGACAAAAGTATTCGTACAGTACTTAATTCTTAATATTAATTATGTTAATGTTACAGTTAGTACTTTGTAGGATGTCCTTTCTGCTGTATATTATACCATTCTTTTTCTCAATATTTCTTTTAAATGTTCGATTTTGATTCATCTGAGAATATAACATTATTCCAAAATCAACATTTATATGTTGCTTTGCAAATTCCACTCTCTTTTTCTTATTCGCTTCATTGATGAATGGTTCCCTCCTCGTAATTCTGCTTTTATATCCTGCCCGATGCAATACCCTTTGAATTGTTCTTGATTTCCAATTCGTTCCTGGACTTCCGACGCAATCTCAGATGCACTCGAATCTGGCTTTTACTAATCCGAGGAAACTGAATCGAATCTTCCGTTACAAAATTTCCTTCAGTTGAAAATGTTTTGGTTTCGTCGCATCCCTGATGTTTATCAACAAAAGTAAAGCTATACGAATACTCTTTTGTCTTGGCGAATTGTTAGGACCTTGTACATTTTATTTTATTACAAGCTACAAAGAAATGTTATTAAGTTTTGTTTGCATACATTCGATATTGTTTATGTTTATGTAAAGCATATAATGACATTTTGAGTCACTCTATGTAAACATTGAAAATTGAAGGTGTCAACATAAATACCGACGCGAGTCCCGAAGGACCACCACGTGCCGCGCACCTTTGGCCCGACACCAGCAATAAAAAGCAGATGGCACCGGTTCCCCAAAATTTGTTTTATTGAATAGAAACGGTCCGAGTTTTTCGGAAGCATTCTACTGCCTCGAACACGTGCATCTCTTTGCTAATTACGGTCACCCTTGAAGTAATAAATTTAAAACGAAATATGGCGTGTCTGTCGAACACGCCGAAGGATTTCCATTGGGTTTTCAAGTTCTGCAGGCCATGTGCTGCGCATTCTTATCTGGGGAGAAAGATCCGTTTTACTGTTTTTTTTAATAATTTCAAAGATTCTCGAGTATAATAAAAATTACAATATTTAAATACAATTTAACAGTAGCAATTTATAATATGTATCGTATTTATATAAATTTGATTCCATTCGTGCCGCCATGGACGTGGTGATCATTTAAAATCTAATCTGATAATATAAATAAAATAATATTCATAAAAAACCCGATTACATTGCTGAGAAGCGTAAAACAAGTAGCATGATTAATTCTACCATTTTGTTTTTTGATACATACAGTTGTCCACACAAAAGTGTTCGTACACTTTTTAAAACGCAATAACTTTTTTGAAACTGGACCAAATGGATTGAATTTTTTTTTTAGATGATAGAGAGACTAGTATACTAGACAATGACCAAAATGTCTTTCCTAAATTTTGCTATTATTTGTAATGGAAGAAAAAAATTAAAAACTCTCGTCTTTTAACTTTTTTATATGACCTTGTAACGAAAATTTCGTTACAAGGTAACTTATATGCGTGCTGAAAATTTTATCGAAATCAGTTAACCGAGAGTCGAGCTACAGGCGTTGAAAGATTTTGAAAACTCCAGACTTCTTACAGTTTTTGGTCAAAACCGTGACAAAACTGTGATTTTTGTCATCTTTAATTTGTTGTAACTCGTAAAATTTTCAACATGCATCTACGAAAGACATGTTTCAAATTTTCGTTATAGGCTCAGATAAAAAAGTTAAAAAACGAGAGATTTCTATTTTTTTTTTTTTTGTCATTCCAAATAATAGTAAAATTTAAAAAGAACATTTTGGTCATTATCTAGTACACTAGTCCCTCTATCGTCTAAAAAAATGTAAGTCACTCGGTCCAGTTTTAAAAAAGCTATTATGTCTTAAAAGGTGCACGAACACTTTTCTGGGCCACTGTAATTGTATGCTTTCTTTATCTGGCTAAAGTAAACAATGATCCAAATATATGCATCGTTTTGAATAGCTACAAGCTCTAAAAAGGATTTGAGTGACGCGCAGGACTAAATGGTACCTTCTTATCTGAAATTTCCAAGAGACACGTGTCGATTGATTTTTATTGCACGCCTTCAAGTATCGGAAACGGGGAAAGTATCCTTTCTCCGCTTTCAGGTCAATAGAACAAAAAGCAAAAGATATTTACGTTGCTTCATGCTTCAAACCTTCGTTATTCTTGCGACAATTCGTAGACATTTTTCACGCGACACGTTGTTTTCGCTAAAACATCTGGCTCGCGACTGATTGAAAAGTACAAATTTTTCATGTTAGCTCGAACCACAGAAACCAGTTTCTGATATATATTTTAACGTGGTAAACTCATAACGACTGTTCCCATGATTTTATAAAAATTAATTCACGAGAAAGATGTGTGTATATTGTTGTATGTAGTTTCATATTATGCGATAATAAATATGAGTTATTTTTTAATGCAATGTATAATTTTAATTTATATATAGCTGATTAAAGTAATACACGCTCAATTGAAAAGAATCTTGATAAAAGATTTTTCAAATAATTATTAACAAATAATTATTGCAACAAAAATTTAATTACTTCCTGAATTGTAAAAGCAAAAGAATATTTATATTATAGTAAAGAGAATCTTAATAGCTAGTCGTTAATAAATTAGGTAAATATAGGTAAATAAATTAAATGCGCATATCTCAATCATTTAATAAGATATTCATTCATTTGAATAATGTAATTGATTATCAAATGCTTACTTTAATTAAATGATATTATAGATCGGTAAATTAAAAATCCCTAATTGTAATTGATAATCATATATTTCAACCTCTTTCCTCAATTAAATTAAAAATATTTGCCAATCCCAATTTAAAATTACAAAAAGTATCAACTGATTCACTCGTTGTTCGTTAAACGTTCCGCCCTTTTGATTCTGACCGCTGATAGGACTGTCGGAATGTAGCATGGCGAGAAACGAAGGAATCTGATTGGCCGTGTAAAGAATTCCATTTCGCTTTGGTTGATGATAGGTTGAACTGCATTCTACAGAGGTGTAATGGAGCTCGGAAACAGGTCTCTTCATGAGAGATAAATAGGAGGGAATGTTAGAATCAATCGTGTCGTTGCCAAATACTGATCGATCTCCGCAGGAAGTGATCAAGTTTTGTTGAAGTTTCGAAGTGAACGTGACTGTGACTTTTTCTACATGTACGATTATTGAAGAAGGTATGTCTCGACTTCTATACATATGTATACCTATAACGGTGGCCTACATTTTTTTTACGCTAAGTATTTCGCATTATTTCATTCCATGACAAATTTGTAGTAAGGTTTCGATTGACAAGGATTCCATGAGTATTCAAACTCATTCCTTTGCATGCATCTGATACTATGTTTCGCGGATAACAAATTATATGTAATTACAACGTAGTTCGATGTACATACTTCTGTTATCAGAGCCGTTCCAATTCAAGTTTATCTATTCCTTACATGTCATCTGGCACTATAATTGGTTTTATATCAATTTGTACGATGTCAAGTTGGTTATGCGCCAACGCGTTGTACTTTTTCTTAAATTTGCGGTAAAACTATATGTATATATAATTGAACAATATCGATGTTGAGCAATCAGACTTCTAATAGTCGTGCCAGATTCTGTTGAATTGTATAGTTACAAGATTTCTATTATCTTACCTGTCAAATATATTTGAATTTGAATTTATATTGTATCGAAATACATATAGTGATTTTATAGGAGGTGCCGTATCGTGGCTCTAATTTAAATAAATTTCAATATTAAATTCCTTGCGGCCAAAACGTGTTGTGAATAGTAATCACGTAGTGACAAATTTTTGTCAACGGAATAATAAATAAGAACAAGCATTTGTAAGTGGAAGTTTATCAGTGATACATTAAAATGCTAAGAGCTTTTTAGCGCAACTCATTTAAGAATCTCCGCGTTTTCACTGTTTCAATTAATTAATAAAAATTGTCTTGGAATTTATTTGACAAGTTTATCAATTTTGTTGCGTCCTACAATACCGATGTGACCGTGATTTGCCGGCGTTGGCCGAGTTACATATTCGCAACTACAACTGTGAAATTCTAATTTATCGTGCATTCAATTTATTTTTTTGAATTTGCTATCGAGTGTGTTGTGAACTTCTATTTAACTACTTGCTCTTAAAAACTGAAAACACCCATGCAGCACAATGGTTCATGTTACACGTTAACGCATGAAATTCGATTTCGAACTAAAAACATATGCATACTGTAAATGGTGTGATGAAATTTGTTATCGACCGTTATTTTCTTGTTTTAGTTTAGAGTTACGATAGAATTATTAATGTTAATTAGTTCTGTTTTTGTTGTACAGTAACGTATCTATATTAATTTTAATAAACATTTGCAGGATATCGGTTATTATTGCAGCAAATTACATACATTATTTTTCATTATTAAAATTTACTATATAAAATAGAAGTAATGGACAAAGACGAGGTAGTAAAAAATATACGAGCATGTCTTATATCTTCAAAGGGTGGTCTTAAATTAGACAACTTAAGTAGTAAGTCAAATATATAGATATTACTGAATTTTCAATGATTTGTGTTTACATCAAACTGACTGAATCAAATCTTCCCAGAGGATTATAAGATGCTTCTCGATGAAGGTATACCATTTAAGAAACTTGGATATTCTTCCCTAATTTCTTTTCTAAATACCGTTCCTGGTATTAAAACTTGTGAAAGAGGAGGAGACTATTTTATAGAGGCTATACCTACTTCTGAATCAGCACATATTTCAAAATTAATTTCACGGCAAAAGACAACAACCAAGAAACATAAAAAATTGGTATATAAATGTTTACATATGTTATTATATTTTTTGCAAGCATTTGTTTAACATGCTGATTTTGTTGTAGGTGAATACTCGCAATTCAATACCGTATCGGCAACCTCTAATGACAAAAAAAGTTCAACGTCCTGTAAGAATTGCTATTGATACCACTCATATGCTTTCAAGGTACGATATTGTATTAATTTTATTTTTAAACATATGGAGATGTATATGTATATACTATAATAAACGATTCAGAGCGTGGTTTTTTTAACTTAATAACATAGTAAGTAGAATAAGTAGCAGTCTTGGTCAGTGTAGTCGGCGTAGGATGAATTCAAATAAATTTAGTATATATAAAATTTCAATTTGTGAAATACTTACGAATCTTTAAACATGTTACGTAGGGAAAATACGGGCTTCACAATGCAGCCAACAAAAATTACTGTTTATCAAAATAATGAAAAACCAAGATACATCCATGCTATGCCACCAACGTCTCCGAGTAAAGTAAGTGGTACTCTCAAATGTTGTAGGTATCATTTTCTCTTTGTAAAAATATTATATTCATTTTTCCATACTTTCAGAGATTGAAAGAGAGACAAGCGAATGCAGTTGTATCGTCGAACCAAAGTTTTAACAAGCCTAAAGTTGATACGTATAATAAGAGCAATGAAAAAATTGTAGCACCTGTGATAAATCAGAAACCAAAGACTGTTAATAACAATGTGGATATTCTTCCTAAAGGAAAACCTTATAATCTTTGTGAAAGGCTCAAAGTTAATTCTACTATACCTTCATTGCTTAATATACCTACCAGTATTCCACCGAGTCCTCCACGATCAGAGGTCTCGTCGCCTCTTTCACCTGGTCAAGTTTCAGCCGATAGTAAAATTACCCAATTTCAACAATCACCGCCACAATCGACTAGTGTCAGAAAAAATATATCGAAACCGCAATCAATCGATCCACGGGAAGAGTTAAAAAAGAAAACTGCAACATTAAATCTCCCAGAACCTGTTTATCAGATTTGTCCTACAGCAATTAAAAATGCAAAGGAGCTGGCGGTATTCGCGCAAGTTAAGGTTTGTAGAAATTTGATGTAAGCTTTGTAAAATTTAAATGAAATTATTATACGAATATGTAATATATGAATATTTTTCCAGATTGGGCCTCATGGATACTCCAGTTACCCTGAAGAAGCACGTTCGGAAGACGAGGCTGAAAAAATTGCAGCAAAATTGGCTTTGCTTGATCTTAGCGAAAAATATGGATCACCGTTCAGACTCAATGAAACTAAAAGCAGACATATAATAAATGATCGAGTTTTATTCATAATAGATGCCCATCCGAATGGTATTTTTATGCACCAGGTGCCTATATATTACAAACAACAATATAGAGAAATACTACCAGGAAGCTGGGAGCGAATTATTGAAGAATGTCCAGCTATAGTGTTGGAAAAAGGAGTCGACAATTCTGTGATTTTGCGAAGATATGTTTCATCAACTGAAAGAGTAAGAAAGGAATTTATTGCATTGATGGAGGAATTTATTGCATACGCATATAAATTTATCGATGAAACAATAACATTACTTCATGCGATTATCTTTAGGTGAGGAATGTCAAATCATCCAAAACTGATAAGATTCAATTACATCCAATTGGACCTGCTGTTCCTGAACCACTGCAATTACCTGAAGAAGATATTTGGCCAGTGGCAGTTACGTACGTTATAAGTACTATTGAGATTTGGGCTAGACTCATAGGAGAAGCATACAGTGTAAGTTTTCGAATTTTTTATAACTTTGCCCTCTCAATAAAATTTTTTTAAAATATATATTGTTTACGTACAGGACCAGTTCAATATTATGACTACGGAAATGACTCAGTATTATAAGAAATTAGTACCCTCTGGCAAGACAACGTCAATTGAAGTTGGTAATTACTACGTCGTTTTTGACGATGACTACTGGTACAGAGTTCGTTGTATCGAGTACAATACTCTAACTGGAATTGCTACAGTTTTCTTTATCGATCTCGGAGGCGAAGACAATTTCCATGGAAGCAAATTACAAGCGTTAGACAAAACATTTTGCGTGCTTCCGGCTCAGGTATTACGATATCCCTTTATCTACATATACGGGGAGTCCTAAAATGATCGTATTTCCGAGAAATGAGGGTTTCCTGAGGTTATTTGAAGCAACTTTTTCCTTAGCGAAAATGTAGTTCGCGGTTTTGTTTGCGAGTTATTAACGAAAAACAGTGACTAATGCGAGGTGAGCGCGGGTACTTCGAGAGCCAGGTGCACGTGGCGTTGACAGAAGGCGCGCCGGATTCGGGCCGCGATCGAAGTATTGTACGGTCACGGAGCGTGAATTTTCCGAATTTTTTTTACTACGTAACAACCACATATTTTTAAGAAAAACGCTTTGAAGAATATTTACTAATTTTTCGGAGGCAAAATAGTTTAACCGTCACAGCTGTTTTAATTATTAATTGAGCCGATTACAGTGAAGATTAACAATAAGAAATCCCGTCAAACTCACGCAAAAGAATAATTCTGTATCCAAACAGAATTCAAGGAACGATTCGTAAAGCTAATTTAATAATAGATCGCGTCAAAGAACAGAGAGGGATGTGTTTATTTAAGAATTGTGAAGAATATCTTTAATAGTAAACTTACCCATTTCGCGAGATGCGGATGCATTCGCTGCTTGGAAATGTCAGTCACAATTCACGATGTCGGTGCACTGACCTCGCACAATGTTCAGTAGATCCCAGATCAATGGCCTTACCGAGGAAGGGATGCGTTCAGAGGGGTTTCAGGTAGAATCGGCATGGTAAACACGAAGTTCACTTTTACAACATTGTCACCAAACACTGACCACTTAATTAATCCTCGACAAAGAGTGGGGGGTTCTAGGGCCTAGGTACGGGTATCGGCCTCGAACAGGCCGAATCAGGTAATTCTACCTCGTTGGTCACTGTTTTTCATTAATAACCCGTAAACAAAGCCGCGGATTGCATTTTCGCCAAGGAAAAAGTTGCTTCAAATGATCCCAGGAATCCCTTATTTCTCGGAAATACGATAGTTTTGGGACACCCTGTATAGGATAAGCAAAAATATTTTTCTTATCTTGTAATTTTAATGTTATATTAGGCATTGAGATTAAGCCTATACGGTTTTGAAGAATTTTCTGAATGCGATAGTATCTTGGGTCACATTGAAAAATGTCTGATTGATGATCGTGCATTGTTCGTTGAAGTGATCAGTCGTGATAAAGATAAGAATGGACCATACACGACAGTGGTCTTTCAAGATACCCACGGACCAGATGATATCAACTTGAACACAGAACTATATAAACAAATACTGCAACACACTGTTGCTGCTTCAAAATTGGGCATTGTATGTATTGGACTTCATAATAGTAGTATTTGTAATGAAGTTGTTTTTGTAAAATTTTTTCTATTATTCATAGGGGGGGCAACTGTCAGAAGTACTTATTTCACACATAGAAGAGAATGGCAACATTTTCGTGCAAGTGAAGTCCGAAAGTATGAAGATTTTAGTTAGTTTATTACATCGATTAGTATGTACCGGATTAAACGCAGAAGAGGTTGAAAATTGTAAGGTAACGGAAATTGACGAGGATAAAACGTATTTCGTATCGGTAAATAATAATTGGTACAGAGGAAAAATTGTGAATCACGTTCACGATCAATTAAAAGCATATTTAATCGATTTTGGTAAAACTGTCAATACATCCAAGAACAATCTGTTGTCCTTGGAGAAGTTATCTGAAATTTTAGCAAAATATCCGGCTCAGGTAACTTGAACTCTTTTTGAAAGAATCGTATAATAAAAATATTAGTTAGAAAAGATATTATTTCCACGTATTTTTATTTAATAGGCTTTGAAGGTGCATCTTCATAACATTGATAATTCAATGTTCAATGAAAAGATGGTTGCAAAGCTTAAGGAACTCGCCCCCAGTGGAGATTCACTTCTTGTCAAAGTTGTGTCATCGAAAAATAATGTGCCAGTTGTAGAGTTATTTAAACGAATTCAACCGAGCAACATGCTCGTTTCCATCAATAACACTTTGGCTCTCGAGGACGAGCTGACTAGGTATAATATAAAAATGTCTAGATGTTGAGATGGAGATTGGAATGATGAATAACTATTTGTTTGTAATTTTTAGATCACAAGGTGATGGAAATAATAATATAAAACCAAGGAAACGTATTGAACGTATCAATTCAAAACTTGTTGGATGCGAGGACAATGAAATCAGAACTCTAAAGCCACCAAAAATATCGGGACTTGGCGAGTATTTCGACGTGCATGTAACAATGGCTGCTCATCCTGGAAATTTTACTGTTCAACCATTCGAGGATAAGAGATTATTAGAAGTAAGTTTACAATTTAAGTACCAATGTCTATAATTTAGAGATACTCTGGGAAACTTTATTAAATTAAATTGTAAAACTTAAACTAATCAATGGTTTTGTTTGCAGAATATGATGATTGAACTGCAAGACGCTTGTCGTATGTACGATGGTCCTATTCCAACATCAGAGACAGTAAGACAAGGCAAGCTTTATGCCGCTAAACACATTGATAGCCATTGGTATAGGTAAAAATAAAATAAATAATTTCTTAGGGTTATTCTTTTGCATCTTTTTTTTTGTATTAAAATATTCCAGTTCATTAATTCTAATGTGTGTTTTTCAATTACTTTTAAGGGTGTGCATTTCAAGTATAATCAAAGAAAAAATGGTTAGTGTTTATTTTTGTGATTTTGGTGATGTTTCGGTACTGCCGCTACATAAATTGCAACCTCTGAAAAGTCAGTTCTTAAAACTGCCTTATCAAGCTATTAAAGCAAGGCTTGCCGGTATGTAATCGACTAATTTTCATTATTGTATATTTTATATTTTTTAATTTTCTGGACATATGTATTTTATTTCTTTACATTTTCGTAACTATTCAAACAGGCATACGACCCGTTAACGTTGATTGGTCTGTTGAGGACAGTTTAAGGTTTCAAGAATTGGTTGTGGAAAAAAATTTCGTCTCTATAGTCGTTGAATCGAAAGCGGACGGACTTTCTCCAGCCGACACGGTACTGGGTTTAAAGTTAATAAATGTTAGCACAGAGGAGGACATTTACATTGATCAGCTTTTAGTCAACGAAGGTCGGGCTGTATTCGTGGATTAATTTACTCACACACCCACACACACCCACCCACACCCACACACACACACACACACACACACACACACTGATAACATGTGCACGTTAGGATACGCGTAATGAAAAGTAATTTTAGTGGCTCAAAAATTAACGTAGTGAAACTGGAGAGATTGCATTAGTTTCTGACATTTGGTATGAAAGAAAGAAGTATACTTTTTCTTAACAAAAATGTGCTAAAAAGAAACGTTGTACAGATTCAATATTTTATCTTTAAGGGGTAGGTACTTGTATATAAAAATAATCTTTTTACTAAATAGTATTTGAACAAAAACATACAAATTTCAGTGACTGCAGATAATAAAAAGTATATAAAAATATAGAGCGAAAGCTGTATAGATATGCGTATATACACTTGCACGTGTATGTGGACGTGCATGTTGTATTCCTTTTAATAACAGCACTTTTGTTTCATTTGAATAGTTTTTCAAAGTAATAACAACTTTATTAATGTTTCAAGTAATGTGCATTACTTGTAATGGATACGTTATGTATTACTCTGAGAAATTATTTAGCAAGATTTATAGTAATTGCGCACCTCATTTCATATATATATATATATATAAATTATAATTCATGCTATGTGTTCCCTTAGAACCGAATTTATATATCTATCTAATATCTTTGTTTCTTGTCATGCGTTGAAACATAACGTGATCGCATATAATCCGGCTGTGGAATGTCAAAGACTACAGTAAACGATATGATGATGACTGACAGCATTCCATTATTTTGACATACGCGTATGCGTTTATTAATTATTGTTTGTTTGTTTATCTTTAACTTCCTGAAGCTGTAATATTTAAGAAACAGTATGTATCCTAGCTTCCAATAATCGTAAGACCTTCTTTTCTGTATGTGATAAATCATATTTTACAGCAACATCCTTTACTATTGTCGATATTGTTATTACTTATTTAATTTTGCTAACATAATTTAATTACATATATTCTGAAAACATTATCGAACGTAGTATGTTGTAGTCGTTTATAGTTTATATATTCTATATTTTGATCTTATGTTAAGAAGCCATTAATTATTTTCGATGTATGTATTACATGTATCACATGCGTTAGCTCATTGCGATTGCTTTATGCAGAATATTTTTATTTTGTAAAATTAGTAATGTAATACTACGCCTGTCTCTCGATTTACACAACGTGTGAATGCGGTATTTTTTTGTATTTGTCACTAGTTACTTATTGCAATGTTTTAATTACTTGTACATCGGTTAAATTGCGAATAAATAGTTATATGTTATTACATACATATTTAAACAATTCATTTCCGGATTTTCAATTTCACATGTTTTTCTTTTAGTTTGTTCTGTTCTTGTGCATTATATATTGTTACTTACCGCGATTAGTACAATCGATCACATTGCAATAAGATGTACCCTTTGTGTATATCGAGGATGGGCATAATTTACGTGTTACGTTTTGGTAAAATATTATTTTTGATATTGATAACTTGATAAAAGGTGCCAATAAATAATAATGTTTACACGAATATGTTATATGAGTTATTTTAACTTAATAGTTACCTATAAATTCATGCAAACAGATGTTTCAAAACGTCAACCGTGTGTGTATTTTGTAAGAGGATACGGTTTTTGAAGCTCAAAAAGACAACTTATGTCATGATTAAAATAAATAATTATAGAAATCACACACACACACACATTTTATT